CCTGCTTCAGCTGGCAAGATTCACTTTCTGCAAGACATCCCTGAAGAGAAGACACATGGACCTACCCCGATGTAGCCCTGGGCGCTGGAGCAGCTGTGTGGAGACCCCTGCCAGCGCTGAGATGTTTACACATTCACTGACTCAGCTTTCCTCCTGCAGTCGGCATCATTGCATGTGTTTTGTGAGATGGAGGAGGACTTTGTGGATTGGTGTTGGACATATGGGTTAATGGGTTAATGTTGGACTTGTGGGCTTGGGCAGCACTGGGTTGGGATGTTTTCTTGATGTGCACTTAACCTTTATATAAAACTCTCTTATACATGAGTTTCTGTGCATTTGTTTCTCTAAAGTACCCAGACTAACACAACCCTTTTGAAGCATTTGATTTTTTTGTTTTTTGTTTTTGTGGCAGAAACTGCTGCTTGATCCCTATTGTCATTCTTCCCTTTGTTCACGGTTTAAGAGCCCCTGGGTTTCATTTTATGGGAGCAGAAAGCCTCATCTTCCTCCCTCAGAGCTCTGGTGAGTTTGAACTGTTGACCTTGTGGTTAATAGCCCAGTGTGTAACCCACTATGCCTTCAAGTGTCCTTGGCTAGGCATAAATTTTCATTTATCTAGGGGAGATATCCAAGCCAGGGATTTCTGGTTATGCAGAATGGAACCTAAAATCTTTAGATGCTTGTGCAGCTAGAGTTTGTAGGCTTCTTTCAAAGATGTTTATTTCTGCATGGGTTTAGACTTTTCCTTGTCTCTTCCCCTATTGTACTTCTGCAAAGTGGATGCGATTACCTTGGAGGAAAAAGAAGAAAAGACCACGGATGGCAAAGTATCAAGAAAAAAGAGGCCTGGGGTCCTAAACACTGGAGAATGCCATACCAGTCCTGGACCACCTACTGCGAATTCTTTCTAGATGAGCAATACATTTCTATCTTTCCCTATTACATTTTTAAAAATTTACAGATAGAAAGCAATCTGCACAAATGCTTTAATTTATTGGGAACTGGTAAGTCATTCCAATATATGTATATAATAATATATTTGGCTCAGTTGCCTTTGTTTTTTATTGATTTTATTAGCGCTAAAGCGCTGTGGAGGGAGACAGTTAAAAATGTCTTTTTTTTTTCTTTCTTAGCAGTCAACCTCCCCCACCTCAGGACTGACACAGACAAATGTTCCTTGAACCAGGGGTTTTTCTTCACTGAGTATAACTATTTGGCTAGTAAGAAGCTAGAGAGCAAATAGAAGCAGTAATGGGGACTACCGGTGACAGAGTGGTGAAGTGGGAGAGGACATGCCCCGTGTCAAGGGAGCAGACTCCCTGAGCTCCCGCTGCTTGTTTCCAAGTAGAGCAGCTGACTTAATGTTGCCATATCTCTGGAAAGCCCGTTCCCAACCTTTTCTCTCACACCAAAAAGGACTATTAGACTTTCAAGGCCAGGCTGCACACCTCCAGGTCTGCTGCTGTGTTTTAACCTCCAGCCGCTTTCTTTTCCTTCCCCCACTTTTCATGATTAACAGACAGTAAAATCCACTCACTGGGACTTGGATAAAAATACAGGCAGTTTTGTAGCCACATCATAATCAAGACAACAGAATAAATTCCATCAAACCCCCGCCCCCAAATTGCCTCCCACAGTCTCTTTGTATTCAACACCTGGCCCAGCCTGAAATCTTTGACAATCACTGATTTGTTTACCAGTCCTATACAGGTAAGTTTTCCAGAATGTCATTAGCCTTGTGGATTTTTCCCCTCGGTATGATGCATTTGAAACCCCACCGTGTGTTTGCCAGTTTGTATATCCAATGTAGTGGTTACGAGTTGGTCTGCAATCTGCGTGGTTGACAGCTAAAAACCACCAGTAGCTCTGCGGGAGAAAGACTGGATTTTCTACTCCCATCAACAGGTATATCTTGGAAACCCATGGGGGTCGCTATGAGTCAGCATTGACTTGATGGCAGTGAGTTTGGTTTGGGGTTGGTTTATCATTACCACCAGGTGCTGTGGTGACCGCATGTCAGAACTATGCTCCATAAAACACTCAGCGATTGCTGTTTCTGAAGTAGATCACCAGGCCTTTCTTCCAAGGTGTCTCTGGGTGGACTCAGATTTCTAATTGTTTGGTTAAGCATGCCTCTGTTTATCCATTCATCACTATAAGAACACTTGGCTTATTTTCAGTTTTTGGTGTTTATGAATTAAATCCCAATAAAGTCTATCATATCCATATCCATGTTCAATTTTTGTGTGCCCATAAGTTTCCTCACTCTTAGGTAGATGCATAGGAGTGGGACTGCTAATCATTTGGTCAATGCCAGCTTACGTTTATAAGGAACTTCCAAGGCGTGTTCCAAAGTGTCTGCATCATTGGACAGCCCCACCAACACTATATGAGCTTGCCAGTGGCTCTGCACTCTTACCAGCACCCTGGTATCTCCATGGCTTTGTATATGAGCCCTCTATAGTTTTATTTAAAATTTCTGTTTTTCATTGCTGGCTTAGAGTAATGTGATTGACTGGCTTATATGTTAATTTGGACTCTGCCATTTTGTTAACTCACTTACAAGTTGTAGGAGCTTTTTGTAGATTCTTTGAGATTGTCCACACAAGCATGCTATCTGGGAATAAAGCAGCCATGGCATGGGAGTGATGCCTGACCTCTACGACCTTCACCAAGAGGAAGAGGAGAATCATTGTTACCACCATCAACTGTCCAAGGCTGACTCCTACGAGGTAGAGGTCAGACATGTGCCCGCACCTTCCAAATTTTTAACCAATTCTAACACCAACCATCCCTCACATGGCTCTCTCTACTTTTCTGCTGGATTCAGTAATTCATTGGAATTGCCATACAGAATTTACAGACCCAATCTGCATTTATGGGATTTATTTAGGAAGTCTCAAAAAAAAAAAACCACCTCATTGCCATTGAACCTTTTTTTTTGGTCTCATCATGACATTATAGGACAGGGTAGAACTGCCCCTGTCATTTTCCAAGACTAGAATTCTTTAAGGAATAGAAAGCCTCATCTTTCTCCCTTGGAGTAGCTGGTGGTATTGGAACTGGTGATCTAGCAGTTAGCAGCCCAATGCAGAATCACTCCACCACCAGGGCTCCTTATTTAGAAGTAGCAGGTTAGAGTTCAAGTTCAGGAATAATGCGGGGAAACAGTTCTTCAGTCAGAATAGCCTTCTCTCAGTTGTGCCTGTAGACACACCCATGGTTCGTGGCTCCTTGGCTTCTGCCCCACTGGGGAAAGTGTTACAAAGCTATTTTAGCTCCACCAATAAATACCCATAGGTATTTACTCTGCCAATAAGCTGTGGGCCTAATGTGTTTATCTTTAGTTCTATGGGTCATGAAACTGAACTCCTTCTATCCCTGATTAAGGACCTTAGACACCCCACTCCACTAGTAAGCCTCTTGTCCAAAGGCATTCAGCTTCAGTCTGTAGGCTGGGAAGCCCACTGGTCTGTCTCATGCTCTTGGGCTCTGTTACCTCTGTCTCTGCCATTTCGATGCCGTTGCTTCCTGATTCTCTCTGGCTCCTGGCTCAAGGAGGTTGAGGATAAGAATCTCACGTCCAAAGGACATGCCCTGCTCCTGGCTCTTCTTTCTGGATGATACTGAGATGCCCCTTTTCACCATTGTGATGGCTCATCTTAAGTCTAATGGGATGGCAAAACTGGCCAATCCTCATGTTAGGGTTCCATAACCTAATTTGCATGGTCCCACCTCTACATGGATGCAGTGAAAAAGTAGAAGGACCTCACTGAGATGGATTGATAAGTGGCTGCAGCAATGGGCTCAAATATAAGAACGATTGTGAGAGTGTCGCAGGTCTGGGCAGTGTTTTGTTCTATTGTAAGTAGGGTCACTGTGAATCAAACCTACTAGATAGTACCCAATGACAACAACATCCTCAAAAAGGTACTATGATGTTTGTTTACATTATTAGCAATCCCTTTGGTGCCCCACAAACACCTTACATTTTGTAGCCCTACACAGTCATTTAGTGGAAGTTATAAAACTATATATAGAAAGGCCTTATCAAGTAATTTGCTGCATTATAATGCACTGTTTTCTCCTGCCTTATTGCACTGACTAGGACTTTAGAACAATGCTAAGTAGGAGTGGTAAAAGAAACATCTTTCCCTGTCCCAATTTTAGGGGAAAAGTTTTTTGTCTCAAATCCATTATGATGTTAGGTTGTAGGGTTTTTGCTTATACTTTCTGGTAGAGTAAGGAAGTTTCCTTCTACACCTAGTTTGCTGAGGGAGTTTTTAATGTGTCTTTGTGAACTATGGTATGCCAACGGACTTAGTTGTTCCTTGAGACGACAGTTCTAAGACCCAAGTTCAGTTAGTCATTCCCTCAAGGTGTTTGATTATAGCTAAGAAATTTTCAGAACTTTGCCCCTTATATATGCCATAGAATCCTGGATATATTTGCTACACATACAAATACATATGTAGAATTATCCCCTGCCAAATCTATGTATATTCATGAGTATGATCCCATCTGCATCTGCCTTTCCACATATGTTCTGTTCAGTTATATATCTACGCATAGATATTGTTTGTTATTACTATTATTGCAGGATTGTGTATATAATAGTATTCACTTTCTGTCTTTTACTCTTGTACATCTCCCAGTGATTGCTGAGTTTTTTCTATGAATGAATTTTGATTTTTTTTCTAATACTTTTTCTGCAGCCAGCAAGATGATCACATGGCCATTCTGTTGTTTGGTGGGTTATACTGTCCAGTTTTCAAATGATGTATGAACTTTGAATTCCCGGGAAATACTCCATTTGGTTTTGATATAGTATCCTTTTATATATTGCTGGATTTAATTTGCCAATCTTTTTCAAGATTTTTTTTGAGGTGTCAGCAAGCTAACTTTAATTTTACAGGCAATGGGGACTCCATGCAAGTTTTTAAAATCACTTTTTTTCTTTTCAATATTTTTTGTGCATTATAGAAAACTGAAAAGCAAAGGACACAGAAGGCATTCTTTTAATGATTTGATACAGTTTGGTATGTCTTTCTACATTCCATGCAAGTGTATAAAAGACTGAGCATGCACGTTTAGGTGGTTGAGGTCCCACAGCACGGATTCGTGCATTTTTCCCACACATCATAAATATTTACCAATCCAAAGTCCCAAAGCTATGAGTCTTTTGACAAGCAAGAATATAATATGCTGAGTCAATTAGAAAAAGAAAACAAAAAAATTACCCTGGGGAGGAGAAAACAGTTCATAAAAGACAAAAATTGTTAACAGGCCTCTAGATAAGGGTATGCGCAGAGTTACAATTAAAATATTGCATTTCCTTAATGTTCAATAAATTGAAACATAAAGCAAGAGGACACTAAATATAATGCTTCTAAGAGAATTATCAGATTTTAAACTATTACAATATTACTAAGGCGTTTCCACTGAATTCAATGTCGTTCCATAGTATAGACAAAAGAGGGACACGTACATAGATGGGTATCATCAAAATGCAAATGCAGGCACATACTTTCCTACACTCCTCCCCTTGTGTGTCTTGCTGCCTGCTGCCACCAACCTAACCCATCTTGATGTTTGCTGCTGAAGGGTGGGTTAGTAATTCCACACCCAAGATGCTTTTCTAAATGATAACACAAAGATAGTGACAGATTGGTTAACTCACTAGTATTACTTTACATCATACACTGTCACCTCATGACATCTAAAAAGCTTAGATGCTGTAAAATCATAAACATTGTCCAGAATAATAAACACACACGCTTTATAAAAAATGCACATGTAGACTTCGGGTTATAATCTAACATCGTTTCCTGGCTATGGTGATACTAGCCAACAGCCTTTCCCTCCACCCTTCCTGTTCTCCCTCCGCCCTTCCTGTTCTCCCTCCACCACCTTCACTAAGTCCAGGATGACGCACTCCAGGAGGTGGGGTGGCAGCTGAAGACAGTCTTCTAAAAGATTATGTACCACCTTTGAGCATTAGGATTTATTTGTCCTTTGACACACAGCAATATTAACTAAATGCACATATAAATCCATGTGCAGACAATCTGAATTTGTTTAACTCTGGGCATAGAGCCCTTCCCTCTGCATCTCCTTCCCCAATTCACCCCCATCCGCACCCCCACCACACAGTATGCTTCTAAGACATCAAAATGAACAATTCCATCCTCCAAATGAAACCATTCCTTTGAATTATGATTCCCCCTCAAAAGTACTTGAGCGGTTTTACTTTACATCCTCTCTTAACATGTTGTACACTTCTAAACATCTAGAAGGACTGTTTCTAGATGTTTCCAATAAGGACTTAAGTTTGTCCACTATACACACAGCAGTCTTGAATCAACTGCACATTTGTAACAAAGGCTAGAATTGGAAAATGTCCTCTAAGTAAACATTCTGGTCCCGAATCCCTCCCCCTCACCTCTACCAACCCAGTTGAAAAAGCAAGCATCTGTAATACTGAGAGATGACATACAATTTTATTTGCACAAGTCATGCCTCTGAAGTCGAACATAAAAGTGTTAGTTTACTACGTCTACTTTTGTCATAGACTGGCAACCCCTTGAACATCTAGGAAGACTAGATGTTGTAACATCAGCACTTACCTTTTTGTACACTATACACACAACAAAGTCATGAACACACTGATGAAGCCCTTTGCACTTTCTTCTCCTTCTGTTAGGGACCGGGAGCGATGACCCTTTCAATGGAAGGAGATCAAACACAAGGCTGTAATAACAGAAGAGGCTTTATTAGGCAAGCTTAAGCCAGGGCTCAAGTCCTCAGATACTTAACCACGAGCACCGTTTTGGACTAGAGCCCCGAACAAAGGAAATTCTGAAGTTTTTATTTACAGGGGATACGTAACCGGGCAGTCCCAGCCCGCCCCTCCCGCCGGTCCGCTGATTGGCTCATTTGAGGTACGTTGGCAGTCTGGTCCTTTGTGTAGTTCCCGTGTTGGCCGTGTCCTCCTCCCCTTGGCGGTTGGCTAGCCTCCGTTTCCGGGTATGCCCTACTTTGTACTGCTAGGAAACATGTAACCAAGACCTGCCCGAGATCACGGAGCCAGTCATGGAGGCAATCTGGCTTTACACTTCCTCTGTGAACAAACACAAGCACGTGGTGCTCAGAGAGGTAGTTTGGCAACTCTATTTCAAAAGACAATAGTTCGTATGAATTTTAACAAAAGGGTATCTACAAAATATGTTATTTACTATCTCTACTTTTAACATACTAGTGCACTTCTAAACATCTAGAAAGACTAGATGCTTTAAATAAGGATGTGCTTGTCCACTATATACACAGTAGTGTTGAATAAACTACACACATGTAATGGAGGTCATATTACAAAGTGTCTTCTCAACAGCAACGTCCTGATCAGGCACCATTCACTTCTCCCAGGTCCTCTCCACCCCAAGCCAGTGGACAAGTATAAGCACATGTGCCACTCACATGCGTTTTACTCTTTCATTCCCAGAAGTCAGCTTTCTGTGATTTTTAACACAGCGCACCATATGTGTTAGTTTATTAACTCTACTTTTGTCATACATTTGGCAACCTATTTAATATCTAGACACTAGATATTATAAAATTAGGACTCATTTTCCAATAGATACATACCATCCAAACAGTACAGCAAAGTTAAATGAAAATCATCTAACATAAAGGGCAATGGAGAATCTGGAATTTTCTGGTACACTCTTAGCACTGTTGGCAATTTCTACCCACCCCCTCGCCTTAACCCAATGGAAAAAGCAATAAACAAGTCCAGAGTTCACCGAAGTATTTCACAAGTTCATTCCCAAAGACAGTATTTTCGATTAATCCTAAAAAGGGGTTTACAAAGAGTGTTCCACTATTAAATACACCAAGCACATCTGAATATTTCAAATAAGAATATACTTGTCCACTATATACACTATTAAAAATAAAATTGTACAATATAGCAATGGTTATAATCTGAGGTATCTTCTAAATACATCCATTTTGGTCTGAACCTCACTTCTTTCCATCACTAATCCAGTAGACATATACAGGCATACGTAGTGCTTAGAGGAGTTAAACAAATCCATATCCTAAAGTCATTTACAGAAGACAAACTTTCCTATGAACTCACAAAATGTACAACATTTATTCCTTCTACTAACTCTACATTGTCGTACATTGGCCACGTCTTTAACATCTAGAGACTAGATGATGCAAAATTAGGACTCATTTGTTCATTATATACACTATACACTGTAAAGCACAATGCTTGTAATGTAGGAAAATGGTTTTGTCTGAGACTGTCCAAGTATGAACATACTGATGTATTATCTTTTGTAGTTCCTTCCCTCCCACCTCTTCTAAACCATGAACAATACAGACATTTGTACACTGGCCAGAGGTAGTTTAACAAGCCCAAAGACAATATTTCCTATGAGGTTTAGTAAAGAGATATACACAAAAGTGATAATTTGCTACTTCTACTGTAATGTACACTGGGGACTTCTAACCATCCAGATAGACTAGATGTTTCAAATTAGGACTATTAGTCTACCATAAGCACAGCATATTATTCACAGTTTGGGGGGAAAACTGCACACATCAAACAGTTAAAATGTGAAAGTGTCTTTGAAACATGAGCATTCTGGCCTGTAGAAGCTCCCCTTTCTCCCTCCGCCTCTAAGCTAACGCTCTATAAATGTTCAGATTTCAAAAGACAATTCTAAGAATTTTAACACAAACTGTATTAGATTTGCTCATACATTGTCATACACAGGCAACCTCTTTAACACCTAGAATGACTAGATGTAGTAAATTACGACTCATCTGTCCGTGGTGAACAGTGTACACACAGAAGGGACAGTGGTGCATCTGGCCTCACTGTAAACCCATTGGCAAAGAGCCTTTTGCACTTCCTTTTCCTCCCTCCTTGTCAGAACCAGTGCACAAAACCCACACTGTGTACTGTCCGAAGAGGTGATCTGGCCATTCAATTTTAAAAGCCCAAAGGACAACAAACCCAATAGTTCAAATGAATTTTAACAGAAAATTTTGCAAAATGTGTTATTTTATGCTTTGAACGCGTAGAAGGCACTCAAGAACATCCCCAAAGACTAGATATTCCCTCTTTTCCCTGCACTGAGTTTGTCCTATTAATAATTTGCCTTTATGTGGTACCTTTGAAGTAGTTGGTGACCCAAGATTAATGCATTGTCACTAACGACAGTCCATCGTTGTACAGTCTTGGATTCATGCGTAATGCTGTGAATCCAGTCTCACTGTGTCATACAGAATAGTTTCACTGTCTCCTTTAAAAAAATTATTGGGAGCTCTTACAGCTCTTATCACAATCCATACATATATCATCTTTACATATGTCGTCATTTTTTCCAAAACATCTTCTTTCTACTTGAGGCCCTGGCAGCAGTTCCTCACTTTCCCCACTCCCTCCCGCCCGCACCCCCCCTCCCTCCCCCATGCCCCCTTGATAATTTATAAATTATTCTTTTTTCCTTTATGTCTACTCATCCCTCTTAGATGATGTTTAGGAAGTATTCAAAACCATGAAGGAGGTAGAACTAGGTGCTGCTGAAAAGCTAAGAGAACTGACATAACTGATGACTGCCCTTCTTCAGGAACTAAACATCTAGTTGGGAAGAAAACAATACCGATAAGCCCGGTTAGCACACATTTTTGGCAGTCAGAGGCTGAGTTGCTGACATGCTATCAAAAAGAATGCCGCTGTGAACAACCGCAGAATTCAATTTTAAGACATTAGGGGATTCCTGAGAAGAAAATGTATGGTGCTGCAGAGTCTTGAGAGATTGAATATTGTACCAAAGAGCAGAGGAGAGGAAAGAAACAAGACAATGAAGAACTGACCAGGGAGTGAGTGGGATGAGAAGTTGCTCTGCTGGTTGTAACAATGTAAGGTATTTACACGTACAGCAGGCTGTTGATTATAAAGAGGCCCTGTGTTCTAAAATATCTTCATCGGTGAAAATCAAGGAGATGAGGTTCACTGGAACAAAGTGAACCCAGTCTACTTCTCTGCACTGAAGGAGGCTGAGAAGTGTGTCTGCAGACCTCAAGTTCATCTGATGTTCCCCTGGCTGTGCTCCCACCCACTTCTCTTGGCTGCCTTCCCTCCTGTCAAGTTCCCCAAAAACATGTTATTGGTGCATGGCCCCTTCAATTGCTTTATAGGTGCAAGTGTTTAGCTCTATTAGGGGAGGGATTGAGCTTTCACATTTCCCTTGAGTCCATATTTATTTGTCACATTATCAGTTGCCACAAAGACTTCCTCGACTTAGGGCAACACCATGTGTCAGAGTAGAATGGCGTGCTCCATCATAGGGTTTCTAGTAGTTGATTTCTAGTTGGTTTCTAGTAGTTGACTGTCAGGCCTGTTTTGTCTTCTAAGGTGCATCTCATCTGGGTGCACTTGAACCTCCAACCTGTTGGTTAACAGCAGAATATGTTAGCTGTTTGCACCACCCTGAGCTCCATTTGCCACACAAGCAAATCAACCAGTTGCCAGTAAAATGCATCGTTGTTGTTAGGTGCGGTTGAGTCAGTGTAGCCTCATAGTGACCCGATGGACAAGAGAGTAAATCACTGCCAGGTGCTGTGCCGTCCTCACAATTGTTCTTATGGTTGAGCCCATCGACACAGCCACTGTGTCAGCCCACCGTGTCAGAGGTCTGCCTCGCTACGCTACCGAGCATGATGTCCTTCTCAATAGACTGTCTCTCCTGACAGCATGTCCAAAGGATGTGAGATGAAGTCTCACCATCCTTGCCGCTAAGAAGCATACTGGCTATACGTGTCCATGACAGATGAATAGGATTTGCATTAAAACACACACTTAAGGGAAATAGTGCAAAGACCTCTGGACTTGGAAGCAGATGATTTGGATCTTAATTTTACCTTTTATCTTCTAGTCATATGAATTTAGGGGAGATGCTGATTCCATCTCTCTGCAGAGAATAGTGATCTTAGCCTACTTCACTTGGTTAGTATGGAAATTCATGGAAATGTGAACCTCCTTTTCTGAGCGAGGGCTACTACAGACACACACCTATTCAGCTGTCACTTTCTCACCCTTGTCCTTTCCCCCATTTCATTTTACTGCCGCCATTCTGTATCGTGTGTGTGGGTGTGTGCATGCGCACATACACACACAGGAGACTTCAAAAAGTTCATGAAAAGCTGAAATGAAATAATGGAATGTATCCATGAACTTTTTGAGACTCTTTATATAGTGTGTGTGTGTGTGTGTTGTTGTTGTGTTCCTCTTCTTACTATATGGAAAACTCCACGAAGGTAAGACTTTCTGCCTAATTTGCTTCCGTTGTATCCCTGCTCTTACTAGTCGAATTAATGCTTGAATGGCTGACTCACCATCCTGGGTGGAGTTCCTGGCCCGAATATGAGTTGCATCTATTGGCCATGCAGGCCCAACAAGGATGCTAGGGATGGTGCTGATGACTATGGAGGTTTAATTGTACTCACGTTAGCCATTATACCAGAGCTGTGATCATCCCAATGCTTTGATATGATTTCTTGGCCTAAAAGGGACCCCTCAGTGCTCTGAGGACAGATTTCATAGAGGAACCCGAGGCAAGAGCGCAGGGGACGAGGCCAAATGTAGATCCCCGTGATAGGCCCACTCCAGGTCAAGCTAACTTCCGCTTTGGGGGAAGCTGCCACTTGCCTGACAGTGAGCCCTGCTCTGCACACAAGCTGCTGATGTAAGCTCACGCTCAC